TTGATTGCTACTGGTGAACCACCTTTTAGAGATAGGCAGTTCGATAGAGATTTAGTATGCGACATTATGGACGGACTACGACCATCGATGCCTGATTCCGCACCAGAGGGATACAAGAAACTTGCCGAGCGGTGTTGTGATGCTGATCCTGATAAGCGTCCAGATGCAAAGACAATTCGAATTGATATTGGCAATCTTATTAAGGAGGCGGACAAGGACAATTCTGACAGCAATGCATGGCTTACCATTTATCATAATGATGTAAAACCCTTATCACGTCTCGAGAAGGAGAGTAAATATTCTAGTACGCGGTTGCCTACAGTAAATTTGCCTAAACCAAGAAATAATTTTCATCACTTACCTCCCTTGTCAGATTCCAGCTTAGAGGTAGAGTTAGGGGAGGTTGATGAGGAGTAGGGTTTAAATCAACAAGTAAACCCGCTTAATCAATGGATGCCGGCATTTTTTCTGTTTATAATAATAAACGGTTATATAAGCACCTGCATTGAGTTGGCATTTATGTTCTGTGATAATAAGACAAGTGTGGCGCTTGAGATACTAATACCATATTCTTTAATCCCACACAAAATGATACCTTCGAATATGTAGAGAAAAAATTTATTTGGTTAAGTAAACGCGTCAAATCCCTTGACAAAACAATAACTTCCCCTGGAATCTGGTATAAATTATATGTTTTTAACCTCTTAACGTCGCATTAAGAGCTGTTGTCAATAAAAGTATTAATATTGTGCGTAAAGTACATGTTCGATTATTAGCATACTCAGCAACATGAAAAGTATAATGGATCGAATTGAGCATTAGTTACGATGTAGCTACACATTCGAATGACTTGAGTTTACCGCATGTCGCTTAATCGGCTTGAATTCGCATTCGTTCTGTAGACTATATTATTACTAATCTAACATGTCTGTGAACCGGCCACTTGACCTGAACGTCGAATTAACAATATTTTGTAATGTGAAGAACAATTTAGTCAAATGTTGCTTGGAAGAATGGATGGTTTGGGAATTGCATATGTCAGGGAAAAAATATGAGACCCGCAGTATGAGATCCACCACATGCAGATCATCTTATCATATTGATTACGTAGAGTTTTTACGTTATTTGCTTCCTCCTCAAAATCTCTCGACAATGTTTCTTACTAGATCAGAATATGACCGCGGCGTCAATACATTCTCGCCCGAAGGCCGTCTGTTTCAGGTTGAATATGCCATAGAGGCCATTAAGGTACTTACCAAAAATCTATCCACATTTTGAAAGAGACATTAATTCTGACTCAATTCTGCTGGATAGCTGGGATCGACGGCTGTGGGTATTCAAACCTCCGAAGGCGTTGTGCTAGCTGCTGAGAAACGCGTTACGTCTCCATTACTTGTATCGAGTAGTATAGAAAAGATTATGGAAATCGATAAACACTTGGGATGTGCCATGAGTGGACTAACTGCCGACTCGAGGACAATGATAGATCATGCAAGAGTCGCTGCACAGGTATCCAAGAGTAATGCTGAACACCCTATGTAATCTGGCTTTTAAAACTTCCTGGCTATAATAATCACAATATTTACTCGATGATTGATCGCATTTGCAAGAGTCATCGTTTTACATACGACGAGGCAATCAAAGTCGAGTCAGTTACGCAAGCTGTCTGCGATTTGGCTCTAAGGTTTGGCGAGAGTGCGGAAGGTGAAGAGTCTATTATGGTACGTGATAAATTTACACGGTAGATCGTATGCTTGATCTGCATATAAAGAATGGTCTTTGACATCTTATTACAGAGCAGACCATTTGGCGTTGCCTTGCTGATTGCCGGAGTCGATGAGAATGGACCACAGCTGTAAGTAACATTTCCGCGCAATCTCAACGACGAGTTGTCGTTATCTCTTATGTTTCCGGTCAACTCTACATATGTGCTTCCTTGTACAGTTTTCATGCGGATCCCTCGGGTACGTTTACGCAATTTGATGCCAAAGCTATTGGATCTGGTTCCGAAGGAGCCCAGACAGAGTTGGAGGGAGAATATCATAAGGTATACTTTTCTTGATAGGATGTGCACGAGCGAAACGACAAAACTAATTCTTTTATATTATTCAAAGTCAATCACGCTTGAAAAAGCTGAAACACTATCCTTAAGAGTTCTCAAACAAGTAATGGAAGAGAAACTAAATAATACCAATGTGGAGCTTGCCTCTGTAACACCTGACCGCGGATATAGAATTTATAGCGAAGATGAATTACAGTCGGTAATTGATAGGCTGTAGACCTAAACTAGGCAGCAGGATTAAATCGAGTCGAATACCTATTCACTATTTATCTCCACTTACAAATCGTGTACAGTAAGTCTGAAGAAAGGATAATATAAATTCAATGAAATGCTCGAGAATGATTGTATATATGATGCAACGATCTTTTACTACTCTATGCAAGACACGGCGGCCACTGCCTTTGTATATTATAAAAGTATTAACTACTTGCTGCTACCGTCTGTATTTTTTATTTTGACAATACTCCATTCTCGCACTTTCTCGAACGCCCAGAAGTTCAAACTTCCCAAAGGTATAATAATAGACAGTCGTGCTCCTACACCAACAAACAAACCCCTTATGCCCTCTGTTCTAATTATCATCTTTGCCACATTAAGCCATCGTAATTCACTTTGTCCCGACTCACGTGCTATTTGAATACGCGTCTTGATAACATCTGCTGGTGCCGACACTACAGTTCCAGTTATCCCACCTACTATGCCGGCAGCAACTGAATAGACGAAATGTTGTGTAGGAGAGAAACTAAGATTATGCGAATTGGCGTAGAGTTTCTCTAACACGAATGTGTACGTATAGAAATATGCAGGAAAGAAGGACAAGCTACTGACTATTGCAGCCGGCCAGCCTCTATAAAGAAAACGGTAAAGAGGAACGTCTTTTGGTTTAAGTCTTGTTATAAAATTGCCTGTTGTAGGTTGAGTTATATTGTTCAAAGAAATGGGAGATCTAGCCGAAATAAACGTTGGGAATTGCGATCCAGGAAATGTATGATTAAAGAAGTAATTATCCACACGCGTGCCTGTTCTTGCTGCATAAGGGACTCCTTTAGACACTTGCAATTGTTGTGCGATTACATCGAATGGAACCATAACACTACTTGTTATTACTGCACTAATGGTACCGAGAACGCCATTGACAGTGCTTTGCTCTTTATTTTCCAGCCATCCTAGTCCAACGCTGCTTCCTTTCCCCTTGTGTATTCTCTCTCTTAGCGCGTCATATGTAGAAAAATGTATTAATCGACCACAGATATTGCCAGCACCATACACAATGATGCCTTTGTAAAGACCGCGCACTCCTTCACTTAGCCATCTTTCTTGTAAAACGTGGATAGGCGACGTTGATATACGTGTACCGATATTTGCTTGTTGTAATGTTTTTACAGTGCGAATGGGATAAAACATATACAAAGGAACTATATTTATAAGTAGTCCATATGTATAATATCTCTTGAAGTCTATGGTCGTATCTTGAGTAATGGGTTTCAATATAACCGTCTTTTTCGACTGCTGTACTGTTCCCTCGAGGTTATTCACCTCTTGTTGCCGGTCCAACTTGGCAAAGGACATCTTTTCGATGGAAGGTCTGTATCGAGAATGAAGAATTTGTATGGTCATGTGCAGAGCCATCGCATGTAATTGGTCGATCTGGATGATACAACAACGCAAAGCCAGCCCTTTCCACGAACTCTGCGTGTTGTGCGCCTATAAATCCATCCACTACTCTGCCCTTATGAAAGGCCTTCACAGTTGGCATCGATGAAACCTAATGATTAAATATTCAATAAGATCTAGTGTATTCGAGAGAAAGCAAAATTTATACATACACCATATTTATGAGCCATGTCAGGAATTTTGTCGACATCGAGAGTGACTTTTTTGTTCGAATTCACCGCGCTTTCAATGATTGGTGCAAGGACTTTACATGGCACGCCACCTTAAATAGAATGTTATAAGAATAGTAATAGCAGTACAATGACGATCTTTTGATTAGCAAATCGTAAGATCGTACGTGATTGGAGATTAATATAAAAATGAGCGCGCGCTACGCGTTCATTCTCTTCCTGTAACTTGAACAGCATGACTTACATGACTTTACTCTTTAATATAAGAATGATAACTACGACAGGTGGAACAATCAAAATACTTAAGGTAAGCCGTCAAGAGGGTTGACGATTTTTATTGTTGACTTGAATTTAACACTCTACATTTAGCACGTGGTTGCAGATTCGTTGTAAAAGTGGCAGCTATTGGCAGTTGTGTGATTTATAAAAGGGTAAGCAAGCAATGAATTGGGAGGATAGTTATCAATGTTATTGATGTATCAGTTGGGGGCAAGACCAGGCTATTTTAAACTATATCTCTTTTTAATTTAGACAAAAATAATACTTGGAACTCCGTTTGCTGAACAAGAGCGTTTGGAAAGTTTGCACACTCTGTACAGAACATTTTAAGCACTGAATGTCATTGATTTATGACCAAGTCAATCTCAAATTGAAAACATTATATTATTAGCAAAGTTTATCTTTTTTTAAAAGTCTTCCAGAAGAAACGGTTGAATGATATTACTGTTGGGAGAGCGATTAATCTTTGGCGTAGGGGTGTTCTTCCGATGGGGAATGCTACCAGATTTAGTACGGTAGTTGTTCATTAGGACTGAATTCTAAATCTACAAGTGACTTAATTTAATAATTAAAACGCGCGCTTCCTAACTCCCTATACCACTCGTAATCCAAATAAGGGTACCCACGATAGAATAACAACAACAATTATTCTACCGCAGAATCGAAGGGGAATAAAATTTATTTAATAATTAAACAGGGCTATCTTCGATTTGGTTTTTCGACTAGTCGGGTTCCCTCACTTGTCTCTAATAAATTAATTAAATGGTTATGTTTATTTTTAATTTATTATTATTATATTCTTCTAATTTAAAAGTTTCGGCTTATCTTCAATGTCTTTAATTTCATCATCATTATTATTATTAAATTTGACAGAGAATATTAAACATGATTTTGAGTTTACTATGCTTCAAAAGCGCATTTTTTAAATCGATCTTCGTTGATACCATTATTTATATTAAAAATATTCAAGAGCAGTTAGAAAATGCAACCATACTATGAATGATATCTCTTTTCTTAAATAAAAAAGCTGCGTTTCGAGACCGCTTACACTGATTGTACAAATCTGTGTAACTGGAAATGTTGCACAATCATTGCTCTCTCTCGCACATATGTGTAGCTCGGAAATAAAGTCTCACACTATAAAAAAAATGGTCTCTCTCCGAATTGTTACTTGAAAACTTTTTTTATTCAAAAAAAAACTATATCGGAAGCTGTAAAGGATGTTAAAAATAAAGCAATTAATAACTTGATTGAACCGCCTAATGTAATTGAATTATATGGATTCCTTGCTCGCAAATTACCGACAGAGAGCCAACTCAAATTGACAACGTCTATTATACTATTCGCCAACCTAACCGTGAGATGATAACATTGGTATTACTTGGAAATAGCGAAGAATGTGCACTAACACTCGTGAGTGAGTTTGCCAGAATATACGCATTTCCGACACACAGGTACAATAATTACGACATATGGCTTGAGAAGCGCGGCAAATTCATAAAGAGTTTTACCAAGTATAACGATACTATTACATGCTTGCTGATAGAAAGTTTCATCATTGTTATTCTCGATATGGATTCTGCTCCGCATGTGGAATACTCATAATGGATGGACTAGCAACAATAAGCAACTCGATGAGTCTACTAAGAAATCTCAATATTGTTGTACCTTAGTTGGGGGACCTGTCTCAGACACAACAATCTCATCTGAACGTAGAATTAGATGATGTGACTTTTTTTCTCTTTTCAAAGATAAAAAAAAAGTTACATTTTAATTATTTCAAAGGTTTATTGTAAATTTATGCATGCTATAAAATATATTTGTTAAAAAAATATATATATCGAACACCCCACGTATTTAATATACTAGATAATGTTTCTGAGAGTTTTATCTTGTTCTAGATGTTATAAAAAAGTGCTTTATTGGAGCTGTCTTAAAGTGGGGTACCCCCCAAAAATACTACTAAAGTACATTCTCTATCAATAAGAGTATTGATAATATTTTAGCGTTTAATTAAAGGTACATTAATAAGGTTGTTTATTGTATCATCGTATTCTCTGTTATGCAAAGATAACGTCTCGGTTATTTGCACAAGCAAAAGAGTTACCTGCCGTATTGACGGAAAGAATGAGTGGGTTACATGTACGCGTTTGCGTTAAATATGTATAAATATATTTTCTAGTCATCACTCTCAATCCTTCGGGGGTGTGGTGTAGTGGTAGCACGTTCGCTTTGCATGCGAAAGGACCTGGGTTCAAACCCCAGCACCTCCACTTTTTTAGCACTGGATAAAATTTTGTCACTCGATTTTTGTCACACTCTATTAAACACGGTCGCTCTACAAACTTTTTGCTCATATCCATGGCATACCTGCGTTCCAAATTCACCAAGATAACGAATAATACATCGGGAGGGGTTCTGTCCTATGTTTATCAATGGAAAATAACCAACTGGAGCGAAGTGGAACCTCTCGTCGAGCATGCAAGTCCAGCGTTTGATGCAGATGGGTTGAGATGGTGGGTCGAATGCTGAATAATGTAGTTATTACAAGGTGATAGTTCACTTACTCAAATCACCGATTCTGGTCATTCTTAATTTGTAGGGTATTTAAGGTAAGCGAATTTTGCTAGAAAGTTGAATCAACCATGTTTTATTAAGCCTGCTCTTTTTGGTTAAATAAGTATTATAAGGGGCGTCAGAAGAACCCACAGGTATGCTCCAAGAATTTAATCTGTTCTGATGAAACCGATCAGTTTACTTAACCGTTGACCCGTTACTGTTTGTTTCTTATGTGCTATAGGCTCTTTCTCTCTATTTAGGAATAGTTGAGACGACACCAGGATGCCTGCGAGGCATCCGCAAAAAGGTCTCGATAATATTTGTGTTGGAGAATCTGAGAACACGCGGGATGGATTTTGGAAAAGGTACAAGGGCATTCTGTGTAGTTGGAACAAAAGCCTGCGTATATCCTATGTACTAATACATAACCATTCTATTTAGTCGAGCTTCCCGTATGGTTTTGTGATAGTAAATATTATGCAATTTTTATTCCACTGCCGTGTGATCCGCTTTACATCAAGGTCTAACACATGATAATGTTGCTTATCAAACAGAGCATTCAACGTGGGGGGAAGAAAATTTAATAGGGCTGGAAGAAATAGATAGGTATGTTGTGTTTGTTTGTCTATTTGTTTGTTTGTTTCTTGTGTGCCTGAATGGGAGGACAGACGCTGCAGTCACGTTGAAAGTTTATGGTAGTTTTTAACAGGATTATAAACTTGATTACTGTTCTTTGATCGGTCGTCCATTGTCACATGCATTTGCTTTAAGCGCATTTAGGTGGAGTATCACTCTATTCTTGATTCCCTACAATACTGAATGTATTTTCGATTCGCTTTTTACAGATTCGTTTCCAACGACACTATATCTCTTTGCGTGAACTTTGAAATACAAGAATCTGTTATCGATGCGCCACCCAAAATTAGCAATCCGTTCGATCGACTGATCAACTCTCCTCAATTCTCTGATGTGACGTTCCGAGTAATCGATGAATACGAGTGCGAGAAACTGTTCTATGTGCATAAAGGCATTCTTGCGTGTTCATCGCCGGTGTTTACAGCAATGCTGACGAATGGGATGAAGGAGACGTACGAGCGAGAGATACGGTTGTGTCAGATCAATCACGATGCGTTTGCATCTCTTTTACGGTTTATTTATACTTTTGAAATAAACATTCAGTCAATGACTGATGCCGAACAACTACTGGCTTTGGCCGAGAGGTTTGAAATTGTCCCGGTTCGGGATGAGTGTTTGAGATATCTAAGATTAGAGTTGAATTTGGATAATGTTTGGGGAGTCTGGGAACTTGCAGGTGTGTTTATAACTGTAAACCTGTTTTGTGAATCCGATGGTGTCATATTAGATACAGTACTAATAAAGTTTCTGTGTTACAAACGCAGAGAAGTATTCGTGTCCAAAGACATCAACCGCGTGTCGTGACTTTGCAGCCACGCACCTTGGAGTCCTTTTAGATAAACCGTCAACCCTTCACGCCGACCCCAATATATTGAGACTTGCTCTCGAAAATGACGAAGCTAACGTTAGTTCTGAAGAGAAAATCTATGAATTAGTCGTACGATGGGCAAGTTTCAATGTTTCGTCTAATGAAGTTTCTAATAGTACAACATCAGATCCAAACCAGGAAAATGATTCTTCAGTTTGCATGCCGTCGGAGCCTTGGGGAAGGCTTGATGAGGAGAGAGTTGATGAAGCACCTGATGGCGATTTACGTGATGGTGACAGAGTTGAAGATACTGATATTTGGAACAAAATGTCAGAGAACGAAACAGAAAAGACTGATAGATATACATTTCCTCGATCGTGGGATGGTGATCGTTTAAGCGCAATGCCCATGTTGTTAAAATGTGTAAGATTTCCTATAATGCAGAAGGGATACCTTATTGATAAAGTTGAAACCAATCGGATAGTGATGGAGGCTGAAGGGATGAAAGATTTGGTAAGTAATTAGGGATGGGTTCGTTTCAACATGTCAGACAAAGCAGTTGATAGCCGATAAGACGCTTTCTCCAAGTCTTATTGTTCTGATTGTTAATATATTGTACCTCTTTGAAATAGCTAATTGAAGCATATAGATATCATTTGATGGCTGATGGTGCGAACCAATCGCTCTTGCCGCGCACAAAGCATCGACGTCGCAAGCCGAGAGTGGACTGAAAACAATTCGGGGTTTTTCGTTATGTTTACATTGTCTATTCGTAATAAAGTAAGAAGCACAAAGACCGAAAAGCGAAACAAGCGTTCATGCATTGTTTTTTTAATATTGCAAACAGTAGGTATTTTCTCGGATCAACCTAGCATTCTGTACTCCTTTTCGGTTTCAATTAGAAATTTAGTTTATATAAGGTTTTATGCCTCTGGAAACTTCAAACTAGTCCCAAATTTAGATTTGGACAACGTAAAAGATGGGTTCCTCTTTTGTCTGAACACTAACCATAAATAGTAAAAGGTTACACACGGGTTACATTTGGTTAGGTTATCTGCCAAGATTTCAAATTACGCTCGTAGTAAAAGGTACAAACAAGCCACAGTCCTTGACCGAGTAATGGGTTTTTTTGTATTCAACAATTTATTTTTAGTTACGTTTCACAATACAAATAAAATGCCAGATTCTGCCAAGCTTATTTAATTCGATCAAGGATCCCAAGGTTCTAGTTCAGAGTTACAAACACAAGCCGAAAGAGAGCACAAGAAAATTATATAAATACAAGAGAACGCTCTGACGAAAAATTGTGTCCATTCTAACCGCTTAACAGATAGACCTGATTATTTAGCAAAAATATACATTAGAATTGATTTATAGTACTTCTTATTAATCTGATCTATCGATGCAACGGTCTATGATGAGCACGAAGAAACTGGCCCCAACAATTGAAGTCCCATTTCCACCACGAATTGATGTCCACGAGTTGGTATGCCGAACGCTTCAAAAAAGCATGAAAGCAGGAAACAGAGGAAAGCCTCCGAATGCGTTCTTTATTTACCGCGGAGCGTTTGCTGATCAGCTAAAGGCAATAAATTGCAATTCTCTCACACAAGCCCGACTATCTCAAATGGCATCAGAGTCGTGGAAGCGAGAAACAAAGAAAGTAAAGGAATGGTACAGACTTCGTGCAGTCGAGGCCGAATGTTTGTTTAGAAAAATGTGTCCACCACAATTTTCTATATCCATCATCGAACCCAAAAGGTCAGAGACCATTAAGAAACCTATGTTTAATGATTTTACGTTCATTGCGGATTCAGCAAGTAAAGTAAGTATTCGAACCCTCTTTCCACGCGCACAATAGTAAAGATATGACGAGACATGACAATAATAGTATATTTATAATTACGATTGTTGCCGTCTATATAATTCTTAATTCAATCATTGGTGTGCCTCTCTTTGTTCGCTTGCAGAAAGTTTTCCTAATATAGACATCAATAGAAATAGCATAACCGTTATCAAAGAACCTCTTTGCATTACATTGTTATTAACCTTATCTTTTCTTCTTCTTCTTCTTCTTCTTCTTTACTATTATCTTTGTTTCTATTTTCCTTGTTTTAAGCATGTACAAGAACGCAACGTAGAATTTCTTCACTATACTTACCCACCAGTATCCCAGTCATGTAACTCGTCCAAGACTCAATCTACCAATTCAACCCCCATTAATACATCATCCGTATTGACAGGACATTATTCAGCTCAGTCGCTCGACTTTGTAAATGTGGAAGTACCGAAACCTAGTGAATATGTACACTTTAACAATCCTCTTCCTATACCGTTTACTCCGCTTCCACAACCTACGCAAGAGTACTTTTTATATGCAAACACCGACGCAAGTAGTACTTCATCTGGAGTGACGAGCGATGATAGCAACGAGCAGTATACGGACAATGTGTGTGATAATGGAGAAGTGCCTTTTGCTGGATTTTCTTATGGGCAATACGAAACCGAGTTATCCGAGTGTTGGATTGGTGCGCATGTCGAGAATACGCAACAGTATTACGGAATTACTGGGATGGGTCTGCCGTACGTTGACCAGATTAGTTATTGTGAAGACGAGCTGTTGAGCAGTATCTAAAAACCGAGTTTTTTATCATTAATTTGTCTCAATCGGTACCTGTTAAGTCTTTCTTATAATCATTATATGTCGTGTAAAAAAGATTGCATTTATTATTTGTAATATAAATAAGTGACAACTAGATTTAGTCATATTAAGTATATATCCATATTACTAAGACTTACATAAAAATATTTTTATCCTCAAAAAAAAAAAAAAAAAATAGTAACAAAAATCAACTACAAGTCGGATATAATTATGTTAACCGCTGCGTGTCTAGTCAGTGTTGTTTTTCTATAGAGCCAATATGCACTTACAAGTGCTGTTTTAAAGCTGCTTTTATGGTGAAATTATAATATGTGCTTCGATCTCCATCGTCCTAAGGGAATGTCATGTCGCCTGTTGGACGATCATTTCAATAAACAAGCAGCTGTACCATCTCTGTCTCTGTTTGTTTGCTGTTCGATCCGGTTTTGCCGTCTACATCGACAATCATGCGCCAATTCCAACTACAATGGAGATGCGAGCATATTTAAGTTATTTACCTTATGGCATATGTAAACAAAAACATTATACATTATGTATAAATAATAAATAAGTTAAAAGTAAATAACGAATCCCCGGTAATTTGGTAAATAATGTCTTGGCTAGCCCATAAACTGCATTGCTATTTTTATCTAGACCACGGCGCTTGTGCAAGATTCATATCCGATTCAAGCCACAAAGGAGGCACAACACCATATACGGATAGTTCTGTATCACATATGGGTTACTTGGGAATTAAGGTATCGGAATATTTCCGATCAAGAGTCGAATAACCAACTAAATTCGATATCTCGGTTGTCAGAGACGGACTAATATTTTCCATAAATAATTAATTTGACATTAGATGTGCACGATCACCGATCTGATATAATGGATAGATAGATTACTGATCAAGTAGAATTAGAGATATCTTTGTTATCCTTATCTCAACTATGTTGTTGAATTAGATATGGGAACATTTTATAATTGGGTCGGGCTACATTATTGGTCTGATAACGGTAACAAGGTTTACAATTCGCTCGCTCGCACATTAGCTAATTATCAAAATGGTGCTTTTCTTTTGCTAATTAGCTCTTGTAGTTTTACATAAACTTGCCCACTCAAAGATCTTGTTTGTTTACCGAATTAGAATTGATTCTTATCTCGCATTGTTCAGATCCTTGTACAACCAACCAACGGACTTTTGTATCACAAAGTTCTAGATTTAATTAACGCCTGATCGGTAAGTTCCGGTTGTATTCCTTAACCTTAATATTATGCTGAAACAGTGTCGGCTTTCTCTGATGTCCTTTATTACGCCCCGGAAGATATTTAATGTTTGTAGAGGGTCTTTTGGCGTATACGTTCAAAATTAGAAACCCTTCCTCCGAATTCTAGAATATAGCATGTGGAAAAATAAATTGGTATTACTATTCGTACTTTCCAATCGACAAATATGATTAGCATTGAAAATACTCTAATGTTACGCAATCTGGTTACGACACCCTGTGTAATCTGGCTTAAGTAAGGAGTTTTACGTTCCTTTATTAGTTACACCTACATAGAACCGGCTTAAGTAAGGGAGGGGGGGTGTGTTATTATTATGCGGTTACTCTATTTTCTATTACTATCGGAACTGACAACTGGGTAATATGTAGGAATTTTTAAACAGATGTGCAGATAGAGGATATTCCCAACGCCATCATCCCGTAATTTGTAAGAGTTTGAACAAATGGCAAATTGGTCAAGATTTATTGGATCAAGATTGCAGTGATCACCAACCTATGTTATTATACGATCTGACTTTAAACGGGATGATGATTGCACCTATTTTATTATCGTACCGGCGATTTGGAATATCGATGCCTTTTAGTGGCAAACAACCCCGTTGAAATAAGGTAATCGTAATGACTATCAATTATATGTATTACAAGCGGTAATATCGATATGAGATGTTGCGAAATCTTTGATAGAGTTTTGTGTATGTGTTGAGAATCTTATCAAGTAGACGTAAAAATTTACTATTTTTAACAAAAAAACAACAAACCATACTTTTGTTGAAACAAAGGAGTTGGCATTTCAGCATTTTGACTTGCTGTTTTACAGCAATAATGGATGACTTGAATCACAACACAGTTTCTGAAAGTGCAAATATCAATGACGAAATATTGGGTGTTTCATTCTCTTCATTATTTGAGTAGAGAACGCTTTAATAGGCTATATGCCAGTAAACACATGTATGTAACATGTGCGAATAGACTAACCTGCGTGTGTAGATATTTGATGCCCACTATCGCCGATAATGGAGAGGGGATTATCTGTAATAAAAGAGATCTCCGCAGGAATATTTTGATGTTGCCATTTAAGGGAATGGTCGTGTGCTAAGGTTTAGTCAAGGTATCGGGTGACACGTGCAGGAGTCACGAGTCGTCATGCAGAACTTATCATTGTGTAGCTAATAAGTTAGGTGAGGCTGGTGAGATGTGGTCAAGTCATGCCAAGTTGGAATAATTTAAGAAAACTCGTGCAGAATTTTGTATGACTTGATTTTATCGCATATTAAGTCTAATTAAGAGCGAACAGTTATTGTTTGCACGCAAATTACATTTACTGAGAGAATTGGTAAACAAGACATTCCTTTATAATATCTTATTTCAGTAATTGTCAACGACAACCTGCACAAGATAGCGTTTACCAATAATTTAATAATGTAATCTTTTCATTGTATCAATGCAAGCGCATCTAATGGTATTACTATTGACAAAGAATGCTCAATTTGTAGATTGAATAAACAATTCGCGGTTATCTGTTCCTTTTGCTGTTATTATATCTAGAACGAGATTTCTAAAAAATCATAGATAATTTCTGGTTTACCAATCAAGACAAGATTTGGCGGAGCACTTGATACAGTCGACACTTTCTTTTGTCAGGGGGGGGGTTGCGACAAAAATGGATACTGCAACACGACCGAGTTTCAGATGTGTTGGACGCTGCTGTAATATAATGTAGTAACTCTTTAAATGATGTTTATTATTATTGTCATCTCGCTACAAAAAACCTTTAACATAGAGAAGCCTTATGAACACTTTCGATTGTATACTTTGTAAACAATAATATATTGCCAAATGTTAAGAGCTCTTTCCGTATGAATATTCGCAACCGGTATGTCCAAGAAGCAGCAAATATGTGAATATGTAATCGTCAGTCGCTTTTTCGTAGTGGAAAGCGCCTAGCTTCTGGCTTTGTATATCAATCGCTGGTTGCCTTAAATCAAACAAGTCTTAAAAGATAATTTTAACTTATTCTCATTATCCTCGCCTCTTTAACTGAAACTAGATATTTCTTTCGTATATTACATTTAAGCCCGTGTCGCTTTTCTCAAATTTGACAGCAAGCTACGTATGGTGAATAAACGCGGACGGAACCAACAGAGCTATTTGCAGTCGCTGGGCCGACTAACAGTCCGTCGGATTTACGGCTTAAGTATTCGTGGGGTTTAGTTACATTAGGGTCAAGTTTATCAGTAGTGGGGTGGGATAAGGAGAATTTGGTGAGAAAGTTACTTAATCGCTCTTAATTTACAAACGGTCTATCGTCTAACGGCCATTTGGCAATAATCCTGGTAGCCATTTTGGATAATAATTATGAAATAACTCGAAGGTAATTTGTCTTTGGAGATATTTCCAGCAAGCTTCGTCATCATCCAGTACATACAACATTGACAAAGGTTAATATTAAATTTAAATTTCATAGACGCATACAAGATTCGATGGGTTCGCTTTATGCCGTTATACAGGTATGTTCACAGTTACAATCAAATAACGACGATAACACGCTACCGCTACTTCTGCTACTATAGATGTTGTAAACATTGTTATCTGAGGACAAAACTGGAGAGTATTGAAAATACTGCATATATGTCGTCATTCTTATTGAAAAAACTAGGTTGTTGTCGAATCTGAAGTTGCGGAACAATAATAAAAACTTAGTATTTCTTTGGCTCGAGTAGCTGAACCAAACAACAATTGTTACATTAATAATATGTATTGAATTCACCTTTCGTTATTAAATTTAAGATAGCAATTACTGTATTAGGGTAAAATTCGGCTCATTTATTTTACGCTGTGGGACGGTTTTCGGAATTAAAGTTTGGGAAAAACTTTACTGACAACGCATTAGTGATTATAACACAAGTAATTTCTATCATCTTGAATGCAATAAAATCTAACATATAGCATTGGTATATGCAGTATAACGGTAAAAACCGTCAAATCCGCAAAATTATAAACGAATAGAGATAAACATACTATTAAGAAGATGATATTTATTATAATAATTTTGCAAGATAAGTTATGGCAAATCGTACATGAACTTTACAACATCGGATAAGGTTTTCATTATCGGTAGATTGCAAACTTTATTATTATCACACTGATTGATGGAATGTTTATCTGCAGACGTGTTCCAACGATATTTAAACATGTTAGTAAGAATATAATGATTCGCACTAAATTTCGAAATTTGCATAGCGGCCGCATATTAGTGTATGAGCAACCTTGTCTTGTGATGATATCAACATGCGCTAGGAAAGAAAAGCATATGTAAAGTTATTTTTGTAAGATTGCACGTTGGGGATGAGAAACAGAGTCCTTCTTTGTGACTAATTGTGTCTGACGATATACAGTATTATACGTGCATTTGTTTGAATTAATAATCCCAAGTCTAAACAACAATCACTGGGAATATTAATGGTCCATAATTGTGCTAGATTACAAAGTAAACACATATTGCTTAGTATTAGCAACATTATTCCGTAAATATTTCTGTACACATACATGTAGATAGTATCTTTGTTCTTTTTTTTTTTTTTATTTTTTTTACTTGTAATTGATAACAAACTGTATGCAATATTACAGGTTTGTATTGTTCGCAATAAAAACAATTAGTGTAACATTCATTGTTGTAGTAACAAAATCTGTATAACTAAAAAGGTGGACAAAAATAACGCATACTTTCTTGACTGACGATACGAAACACATTTTCATTAGCATTATTCTAATGTCGATATGACAATAGCAGATATAGACTGCGAGTAGTGTAAAAAAAAAAAAAAAGGCATAAGGCTTCAAAACCTGTCAAACACTTATCAACAAGCTTATCTGGACAATCTTCTTTACCGTCAGTCTCGTAAAATTAGTTAGATTGTGTCTTACGAGAATATTTCTCTATTTTATAGATTAGTAAAGTAAATTATTATTCACTTTTTTTTTTCTCAAGAAAGATCGCATTTAATTTATTTATTTATTTTGTGCCTTGTTTCGCTCAGAAAAAATCAATCTGATATTTGGCGTTCTAAAATTTCGTGTCTTATGTTGGATGCCTGATTGATAATCTATCACGGGTAAAAAAAATGGCAAGTTAGCAGTTTGAAAAGAGACAAGAACAAAATAACGAATACATCTTTTACCTGGCCCATCTCCAACGCTGGTAAGCGCAATAGCAGTGTTCGTATCTCTGATTGTTCTAATTCTTCAAGACTTTCTCTGCAATGTTTCAACACCGCTGGAACGCATGTAAAGGTTATTATAACGAAACGAGCCGACGAAAGAAAGATCAAGGAATATATCTGATGATGCTCCTACCTAAACATACATATGGATGGAAATCAATGGGATCATCGATTGAAAAATATGTATCTATAAAACCATGTTTCATCGTTCGGTTAGCTTGTCAACCAACTGAGGGTTTCAACAATTGCTTTTGGTCTTCCTATTAGCAATTCATTCCATACCCCATAGACGCATTAGACCTTCTAAAGGAAGTTCCTTCGCCAGTAGAAACTGCAGCCAGGAGGTCGCCCATTCATTCAAGTCGACTTCCTCATCTTCAAAAGAGCTATATCTGGATATTAGGATTGAATCTCAATTATAAGCTCGAGTCCATCCTTTTGGTGCTAAACGTGCATCTTATGTAGAATACGTACAAGTCTGGAAGAACGGCTCGAAATAGGGTCATAAAGTTTACTACTCGTTCGTTGATTGTATGAACCGACTGGTATTCATCTGCGCAACAAATGTCCATGATTAACAACATACGTAAAAGATATCAATATACTGTGTGGGCTGAATAATCTCATAGATGACTCACCCAGAATGTTCATAAGTCGCTCAAAACAATAGTATACCTCGGCTTCATTTCTTATACAGTTTACAAATGGTCCACAAAGATGTACTAGTGCTGGATAATAATCGGCTTCTCGGTTGTGATTCATGTATGCACTGATTACATTCTCAAGCATGTTCGTGTAATCTTTGTTATCGATCTGATTCTTAATTTTATGCTGATATCTGCCAATTTCTCCGCGAACACGTTTCATGATCTCGGTGTTTTCTTTTTCTATTGCGAGATATTCCTCGTATTTTTCTTTCAGATTGGTAATTTCTTGCGCTGTAAAAAAGATGGCGTCAAATCATAGGATAAGGTAGGGTATTGTATGTAAAGATGGTAGGAAACAACTATGTAGTCATATAGGAAACAATTATATAGTCGTAGGAAACAATTATGTAGTCGTAGGAGACAGCTATATAGTCGTAGGAAACAACTATATAGTCGTAGGGAAACAACTTACATCGATCAGCCGGATGAACTCCAAGCAAATACTTCCATACTTCCTTTAAAGTTTAGAATAAATGATTGACGATAAAAATATCATTGTCAATGTCTATAATCCGGGGGGCCAGATATGAATATTCGAGGCGAGGTGAACACAACGCATCGTAATTCAAGAAAGGAAGTCAATTTGTATATGATAGAGGTGAAAACAATGCGATAATCTAAACCATCACAAGTCATGCTGCTAAACGAAATCACCAACATATCAATGCCGCCCTTTACATCGATTGGGTATTTCCTGATTAATCACTTACCCCACGAACTTCCAAAGGAACTCCATGACGGGCAGAGTCTCGGAGTTTGTCGAGGTCGATATACACTTCAGAATTCAAGATTTCTTTGAACTCATTAATTGAGGTCGACGTATACGTTGACATATCCTTGAGTAGTCTCTGATGTTAGTTAGTGGTTAGGATCTAAACCACAACTTATCCGGATAACTGATCCGATCCTAATTTCGGATGACTCTCTTCTCTTTTTCTTTTTTTTCCCTTTCTTTTTTTTTTGCGGGGCATCACTGCGCCAAAGTATTACAATGATATGTGTGTGTAACATTGCATCTGTATGGACTAAGTGGCGATGAGTAGGTAATTATCGCAACGCGATTTCCATAACATGATTGCCACTATGATTTGCGACAGCTCTACACTCGCCTATTGCATAGTCATCTATTATTATTTTTGTTTTCCCGTTCTATTAATATTCGTAACACAAAGATGTTGAGTGGTTGTCTAACCAAAAGATCACCGTCCCTAGATTATTATTTAACCTCGAGTTTTGCGTCTATTTCTTTCGATGGGATTAGTTTCGAAAGTCTATAGGTCGGGGAAATTTCACTACACTAAACGCGCTAATCCTGATGTCAAAGATTCTACGAAATCGTTGGCAAGATCGACTCTGTCTACCGCTGATGCGAGAAGCCGTTTTTACACTTTTACCAGCGATAGAAATATCTTCACCAGGGAATGAACAAAATAAATTTAATATTGTATACGAATTTTATAATCGCAAGGAATTATTGACAAGAACAATTGTTAAAATAAAAGATATGCTGAAGATGCATTTACTAATTTACAATGATCTATTGTTTACGAGTCACGATTTGAGGTATCCATTCATTTACTAAATGTTGGGCGTCTGCATATCTCTTTCTGAGACGCATCTTTGCATGCAATTTCCGAACCATTTTTGCTATGGGAAATAAGTTATATTTCTCCTTCATCTCTCTGAATAGTTCTATAGCAAGTGTTGTTCTGCCTGTACCAATTGCTAGCTTTATGAAATGGTTGAATATGGTTATATTAGGCTGAAAGCCATATTGCTCCTGCATTATTGCAATATACGCCCTAACTCCTTCCAAGTCTTTGAATTCACATGACCATCTAATAAGTTCACCAAAAGTATTAAAGTCAGGCATCACTCCTACTTTGACCATTAATTCGTATGCGCTTTTCATTCTGTCAAGCTCTCCAGACCGTCCGTATGCATACAATAAAGAATTAAATGAATATTCTGTTGGAGTGAATTTAGAGGCATCCTTGTGTTCTTCTGATATATCAAATGCGCTGTCAAATATCTGACGAGCTCCATCAGGCATCTTCAGGTCTCCGTAAATTCTGATCATAACGGCATACGTTACGGCATTTGGGTTTAATCCATCATTTTGCAAATTCCGCCAGATGTCACTTGCTAGTGCCAGACATCCCCTATGCCGGCCTAGGCATGAATACAGGTAGCAATTGTATGCATATATTCCTGGTTTAAGACCACTCTCCCACATTCGAGCCCATATTTTATCACATTCACGATACTTTTTTATCGAACCAAATACGTGAAGTAAATGAGTATAGTCACGGACATCTGGATTATAGCCATAAGCTTTCATACGCCCAATCACATATATAAGTCTCTTTGTGTACTTGGTCTTCAGTTCTTCATCTATCAACTGGTTTTTCACATTAATACTTCTCAATACGAGTGAATGGTGCTCCGGTAAAAGTAGTTTCAATTTATCTTCTCCGTCTAGTTGATTATATAGATACCAAACAGCTTCAATGTCTTCATTAAGTATCGCCTGAAGAAGTGGCAAAACTCTCTTATGGGCTACAACGCGAAGTCTATTCTCAGTATTCAGAGTCTCACGCTTATGCCTATTACGAGTAGAACTTATCCTATTGAAATTAGTCGAAAAAGTGCTATATATGACCGGATCAGGAAAAGGGAGTTTATGACGTCCTTTGAGATGAGAATGGAGTCTGCGTGACGCTGGCGTAAAAAGACAGAAGACTAATTTTCCTACTGAAGGTCCGCCAGGCATAATAATACTACAAAGCACAAAAAAAAGACAGTCGACCTCCCCTACAGTCACATGCTATACAGTCACACCTCACAGGCTGTGTGAGTCACTGTCACCCGATTTTGGAATCCCCCAATATATGAAAAATAGGCATTGTGTAACATTCAACAATCGATTGCATATTAATATATATAGATCACTTTAAATATAATCACGCATTGACGAAAAAAGTATCATTAGCTTCACAATGTCCTAAGTGTGCAAGAGTTCATATAAAACAAGGTCCCAACTGAATCTAGATAATAAACGCGAAATTTGTGAATATGCTAAACAACATCCGAAAGCGAAGCATGGCAACCATTCTAATAAGAAATTTAACCTTTCCACAGATCGCTAAACTGTTAGCAAAATTTTAACAAAAAAAGAAAAATGGCTTAATCCTCCTCGACTATCACCAGTACAATTGAAGGACAGCTCGAATAGGTTTAGAGACTGCTATTAACTTTTTCGAGCAGCAATCAGACGATGTAGGGTTTGATATCAAAGACTTCCGTATTTTCCGAAAGTATTTGAATTTACTAAATTTCAATCGAAACAACAGCAAAAAATTGACACTTACTTTGGAAGTTAGATTAAGAAAATTTCGTGTATTGTCGGTACTTGATTTTCTCATCACAATAAGAATAAAAATTCGGTAGTCGGATAATATAATTTTACATTTCTAGTTCCCGATGGAGTGACTGTAGGGGTAGTAAGAAAATTTTGGCTGTATCACGTGTTTCAGATTATCTAACCATGTATAAATGAATGACTATTGATTGGAATTCTAATTTTCCTTTGTTCTAATAAGTTGACAACATGCCACTTACCTTATGTTAGCTAATCGAATTTAATTCAACGCAGCTGACAAATATGAGCTTTCACTTTTCGGCCAAGCATCCTACTGACTATGTACCATGAGCATACAAGGCTTCTTCACCTTTCAGCATAAACGTTTCATCAACGCCTTACAAATTTGTCATTCATATAACACTAGTGTACTGTCTTTATATTATCATCTTTATGTTGCATATCAATGGCCATATCTGAAGAAGAAGAGCTATTATCTGAGTCATTATCTTCCTCTGCAGTTAACATTTGTTCTTCTTGTAAGGCATGTTCAGTGATAGAATCAGTTTCATTGATGATGACAAGGTTGGAATAAGATGAGTTATTTGTTGATGAAGAGGTGGTGTTAGTATTAGTATTTGAGAGAGTATGAGTGATTTGAGTTGGATTGATAGAATCTGTGTCAGAATTTCTGTTAGCATTAGCATCCTTCTGTGGATAAGAGACAGGGTTAGGGAGGTGGTTTGATGACTGAGCAACTTGTGCAAAGGTACGAGCAGGATTTGGTCTAATTATAGTAGGTTTTGTAGGACAATTGCAATGAGTGTGATCAGTGTGGTGGCAACAAAGACAAATTTGACTGGAGTTGGCCCAGGTAAGAGCAATGGAGCAGCCTAAGATATGAAGGTGAACAGGAATATTTTTGTTAGCAATAGGTTCAACAATAGCATCCCATTTGGTAGTAAGGATATTTGTGTCAGTGATGACAACGGGTGCAACTTGTTTAATGTTGCAATATTGGGAGAGGGTTTCAGTAATAGAAGTGCATATAGTTTCTTTTTCAAGGATAGGAAGACCGTGGAGATGAATAACTAGGGTTTGTCTGGGAAAGTCTCTTGGTGGGGAGAGATGAACAGTTTTGTCATTCAGAGTAATAGGAGAACTCTTAAGATATTTTTGGAAGGAGACTTCATCATGAAAGGTTAGTTGAAGAAAACAATCTTCTGGAAAAAAGATAACGCCGCGGAGGTCGTTGCGAAAATAATCGTGAATAGCTTTATCAGGGATACGAGTAAACTTTCTGTCAATGAAAAGGGAGAAAGGAGATTTAGAGGGGGGAGGTACTCGACCAACAAACGGTTTAACAGTAAGAGTAGACGATGTATTTTGCCAGTTAAAGAAATTGGAAACACCGTCAGGGTTAATTAAAGGGGTTTTATTGTTATAGGTTTTGAAGTAATTAGAAGGGACTTGTTGAGGAACATAAGAAGAAACAGTAGCAGTAGAAGACATCTTGTATGTACTGGTATACTGTTTTAATGTATGTGGAAGTACATTGATAGGTGCTAATGTTCCGGATACTCGAGACATTCCCGAAGGTTTTAAAGTGGTGAATCTTGTTGTTTCTTGATCATTGTGACATTTACTACTTGCCTATTCCGGAATTGCTGATCACGAGCTAGCTAAATTTCGATTCCCAATTCATTGTAATATTTTGCTCAACATAAATGTTGTTTTGCGTTCGAATCTATAATGAAACTACGAATCAATTACTTAGAACGGAATCTAAGGAACCAATGCCATGATCACATAGAATAAACCAGATATAATTCGTGTTAAGAGAAGACATACTCATGAGATGCACAAGAAACTAAGCTAATTCATCTTTGTTTTGTAAAATCCTTTTTTCTCACAGGTTCGAAAAAAGATGTTAACCATATAGATAAAGATATATAATTAATTGTAATTATCTGGCTTCGAGTGATGGAGTCACGAGAAGGCGGGATATATTGATTGCCTTTACTATGAGATATAGCAGAGCTAGTGTCTGAGACCCAGTTTACGAGCTACAGATATAAAAACGTGCGTTGTCTAGGATTAACTTGCAGGTTCGTCCCCGCCTTCTCATTCTTTGAACTCGAAGCCAGACTATAGTCATTGTATAACTACTTTCAACAATTTGTTTTTCTGGAATATATAAACCGACTATAAACGAACGAAGTGAAGTGAATTGTCGGGGGAATTATCGTCGCGCGATATACGTGGGGATGCTGAAAAGTTTTGTCGTTGATTCTTTATTTCTCGAAATTACATAATAATTATTAATAAAACT